CCTAGAGAAGAGGCGAAAAACCAAAGAGAAGATCTTGATGGGAAAGGGCTTCGAAAGGGTAAGTACATTTTGCTAAGGGACAGGGAGAGTAGATAACAGACACATCTGGAGAAAGGCTGATAATGTGCTAAAAGAAAAAATATAATATTTGCAGCAGAATAAGGAACTAGGATGTGAAAAATTGACCAGTGGACAATGAGGATAAATTTTCTGCTAGAGGAGAATGCATAGCTGAGGAAAAAACTGATTGAGAGTGAGCAGGACGGAAGAACTTTGAGAACATAGAAAATGCAAAGGGCCTCTTGCAAACAAAAACAAACATTTGGGGTAAAAAACCAGATAGACCTGAGAATTCAGGGAACTGAGCAGGGTAAGAAGACACAGAAGAAAATGATGGAGCTGATTTCAGGAGCAGCTAGAATGATGGCATACAGAAATTGGAAATTTTTTTGAAGAAAGCAGAAAAAGGTACAAGCTGAGACAATTGCTAGTAAGTTTGAAATAAATGAAAAAGAAAAAAAAATAGCAGCATGAAAGAGGGAAAATTTGATTAATCTTTCTCTTCTTACCAGGATAGCTTTGGGACAAAAGCACAAAATCATTTGTGAGCAATTTGGGAAAGGAACACATGACAGAAACATGACAAGGAAAGAATGGTCAATGGTGAAGATGGTGCAGAACTAGAATACTGTAAGAGGATTTTAGATAATGTGAAAAGCGACTGCTGTTTAAGTAGAATGAAAATGAAGGTACAGGACTTGAGAGGGAAACTACTGGGAGATAGAAAATTGGGAATGTGGGATATATAGATGAAAAGAAAATGTAATAATGTAGGCAGGCAAATACATGGTAAGTAACCAGATGGTGAAAGAAAAAAATCAATGGAAATAAGGAAGTAAAAGCGGCAGTAAATGTCATTGTTCTAGTGCTTAGTAAGAGGTCTCTTAACAAAACAGTATATAAAAGTCAAACATTATCTTTGTATGGTACCTTTTTGTGTGGGATGAGGGGGTCTTGGGAAACCGGATTGGGAGCTAGGCATAGGCATCTAGTGAACCTACAATATGTATGGAGAAGAGGATAATCTGCTTTATTATTATTTAAAACAGAAGCAAAGAAAACATTTCAAACCAGTGTCTTCACCAGTTCCTAATAGCTTAGTATCTCTTTCTATCGCTCAAAAAAATACATAAGTACATCTGAGACCCAAATTTGAATTATTTATTATGGTTATTTGTCAACATTTTATGGATATTGCAGCAAACTGTTATCTACTCAGTATTTAAAAAACTCAAACACAATCCTAAAATACCCTGCATTGATTCTTTTTATAGTCTTGTATTCAAATTCCTTTTTATTATTGCTCCCATTTTACAAAAGACTTCACATGCACTAAAAGTGAATCTAAATGAGTGCTACACGATGAAAAAATAGAACAGAACATACCCCTTTATTGACAAATGCAATTATCTTCTATGCTTAAATTAGTTCTATTCCTTACTCTTCAAAGTGATACTTAAAAATAGCAACATTAGATATAACTTCAAGTTGACAAGTATCCATTTATTAATAATAAATAGTAAACAAAATCTTTAGTTTTAATTATGATTTTCTTGCATAATATTTTCTTAAATGCTGAAATTACACTTTTAATTTCAATTATATCACTTCCCTACAGAGCACTACAGATTTCCTACCTTTGTTTGCTTAGTTATAGAACTACATAGCATGCTTAACACAGTAAATTGAAAAATGATTGTGGTTAAAAAGACTATTACCCCAGGCATGCTTAGATACTAAGAGTCACATATGTTTTTGAGAGGAGTAAGAAAGTAATTCCCTAGAAAGTATTTTTTTCCCAGACTCTGAAAGATGCAAGAGGTGGTATTATATTATTATATTTTTATTTAAGGAATATACTTTATATAGAATAATAGAATATAATTTCTTCTGTAGTGCATACCAAAGTATACAAAATATCATTTACAAATAAAATGTAAGGACACAACTGAAATTTGTATACTTGTGACAATATGGTCTTTGTTGCCCCAAACAAAATCCAAGAAAGTACTAGAAAATGTTTCAACTATTGGAAAGCTTTTGTAGAGTTTTGCAGGTAAAGGGCCCCATCTGTACTGAGTGTGCTTTATGCTCCTGTGCTGCAGGAATGAAGTGGTTCTGCAATTCTTTCTCCTCACTCCTGCCTACAATTGTCATGCTAAATACTGAAATTGGAACTGAATCCTCTCAGTGCTTCTGTCCCTGATTTCCAGACAGGTACACAAAAAGAAACAGCAATGAACTGAAACCAGTAGGGAACATGAGCCTGACTGGGGAGATGGGGGAAGCAAACACTAGGGATGGAGATGTGGTTTGCAACAGGGAAGGCTGGTAACAGGGAACGTCAGTGCAGCTCTTACAACGACTGGGTAAGGAGAGGAGGCAACAGGAAAGGTCAGACAGAGCCAGGGGGCTGGGGGGTCACGGAGAGAGAGAGTTTGTAATTAAGGAAATAAACAGAGTGGCATGAAACTAAGTTCAGAAGTGAATGCTGGAAGAATGTGAAGTTGGGAAAAAAGAAGAGCAATGTAATGTAGAGCAAGGAAAATAGTCAGATTAGCAATTGACAAAAGATGGGATTGGAGGGAGGAGGAGGACCGAAGAAGGAACTGGAACAAAGGGACACATAGCAAGGGGGACACAGAGAAAAGGGAGTTTACTGTGAAAGGAAATCCTCCTTCCAATATTGCAAATGAACACAAAGAGTCTTGACATTTGGCATGATCTGTCTATTAACTGTTTCTTGAACTATTTCTGAAGCCTGTCACCCTATAATGACTGATTTACACTAACAATATGTTCCTACAGTTAGGAACCCTCCTTGAGCTGTAGGGTTACAAATTGCAGTAGATCTAAAAGTTCTGAACTTCTGTATGATGATTGAGCTGAATACATTAAACTGTAAGACATGAGAACTGTATTTCTTGCTTCTTCTTTCCTCTTCCTTAAAACCCTCTGCTTTAGTTATATATTGAGAGTGCAAAGTAGATATAGGAAATGTCAGAATTAAGGTTGCCTTAATTTTGCCTTTGCAATATGATTTAATATCACAATCAGAAAATATCATGGTCCAGTCTTGAACTAAATAATCATCTGTGGATTTTAATTTTGTTTTTAATGTGCATGACCTTGGACAGATGAATCAAGGAAAAGTCATTACTGAGAATGTCTTCTGCAAATCCTTGATTTCACTTATTGCAAAAATGGAAATACATTAAATGAGCAGAGGCTAGCTGGGAAAGAATGCATAATCATTGTTCAAAAGCTGAAGTGCTGGTCCTATATAGTTTGGGAAAAATCCTTTAGAATACATGCTTTCAAATTTGTATTACTCCTATTATAAATATCCAACTTGATATTTCAGCCTATGAGCAAGACTGAATTCAACAGGAACAGTGATTTGATTACACCTGAATGCTTCTGCCAAAAATGCAAATTATCCTGAAAAATTAGGTCCTTGATTCTTGACAGTTAAGCAATATGTCATCGTAATCTGTATTTGACTCTGTTTCCCAGCTATCAAATTGGGATACTCCAAATTTCATTTCCTTTCAAGAATGCTCTGAAGATGGAGCAATTAATGTTTGCAATGAGTGCAAGTACTGCAGCAACCGGTGCAGCAGCATGGTCTCCTAAGAAATTAGAAGTCTGTTATAGAATCAAAAGAGGTAAAGAAATGTCTGAATTATAACAAAATGAAATAATGGCTGAATTCTTACAAAATTAATTCTATCAAATGGTGCTGTGAATAATGTGTAAGTTTTACAGGAAGGAAGGCAGGATTCTGGGGTAAAAGACCTCATAACATGTATTCACTTCCCAGGCAACATTTAATCTGGCATATTCCAACTTCTGTGTTGTTGACTTTGCAGACATTACTTGCTTTAAATGTCTTTGTTTATATATTTGTGTGTTTGTCTTTCATAAGAACTTACTGCATTTTTGATATTTGTTTATATGCTCAAGCCGTTAAAAGCTTCTTGACTTTTTTATTCTGTTGTTACAGCCTCCTTGTGGCACACAAGTAACAACTCCTTGCAAGTCAGAAAATGTGATTAAATAACACACAGAAGATGTCAAATGATACTGTTAGGATGATTGACTTCAAAATGCAAAATAAAGGCAATTGAGTGTGATTACTGGAGCTAATCCTTTTAGGCTTGTCTCTGAAAAATGCACCTTCATTTACCATTGAAAACAATTGCTATTTTTATTGCTTAGTATTCATGTAGGTAGATTTAGCCTGTTGATAAGAATAGATATTATAATATAAATACTATCTTCAAAATTTGCTCTTTACTAATATCTTGATGTTTGCAATGTATATGTACATTTAGATTCACCAGGGAAGTAATATGGCTCTCTTTAGTATTTCATGTATAAATTAACTCAGCAGATTTGTTTTATTAAAATGTAAATAATGGGATGTGGTAAATGAAAAATCCAAGATGAGAATAAACAGCTTATTTATTGTTAATGCTCAGAGTAGCTTATTGAAACACACCTTTCAGTAACTGCTACTGACTATTAGCTAAGAAATTCTCATCATGCCTTGAATGTTACCCATTAGGTTTAGCCATTTGTACAGTTAAAAGGCTCAAGGTGTTTCGAATACACCTTTAAAAACGTTATTAACTTTAATCAAACTACACATATTCACAAAAACTGCATTCAGCATGTCTGAGATTCAACCCAATATTGTTTCAAGTTAATTATTCTTCTTTAATTGCTCTGTATAAACAGAAATGACCTATTAATTTAAAGAAAATCTATCAGCACAGAATGTATTCTCTCTTATAAACAAGCAAGATGAACTTGACCTTGTTTGAACTTGTTTTGATGTGGCCCAGATGGTAGGCTACATGCTTGAATAGCAGTCTAAAGCTGAGGAAAAACTCATATAGCAAGATCTAGATTTATAGCCTTTTGCAAATTCCTACCTTGTATTGTCCTTTCAGCATCTGTTCTGCCCCCGCTGCGGTCAGCTTCTATCTCTGGGGTCAGAGAGTCTAGAAACATAGAAAGGTAAGACTGACACATATTTCATTTGATTCTTATAGCCCTTTTTACAACCTGTTACTCCAATGCTGAATTACAATACAATCAACCTTTGTCAGTGTTTTTAATGTTGAACAATGACTGGAGGCCAGGACAATTTTTTGTTAGACTGGGAAGATTAATGAGCAATAGATTTCTCAAGCATAAATGTGGGGAAAGAAAAAGGAAGAAAAAAATTGACTTCTCAAGCTAATAATATAAAATTGTCCTAGTTTGAACATTCTCTCCAGTGACTTTATTTGCACCTACTATATAAAGTAACAAAGCAATAAAGAGAGAGGTATCACTTGAACGAAGGAAATAAAAGAGATTTTCTATTTTTTCCCTTTCCATCATGTTATAAATTTTCAATATAACAAGATTCTTTTGGCACTTAAATTGAAAGTTAATGACACAGAGGCAAAAATTGGCTTCTTACCATTTAGGACCCTGAGACTATCTGTTGAAGCTGCCTGTTTCAGTGTTTGTTCTGCTTGCTCTCGTCGTTTAGTCTCAAATTCAAGTGCTTCCTGCAATTTCCTCTTTGCCTTCTTTTCCTTCTTTAGCCTTTTCTGAATTATTGCTGTGAAAACAAAATAACATCAGTGTACTCCAGTTTGGATCTGAAACTTGCCTGCACAATGACCTATCAAGGGTCCTGAGAAACACTATGTTCATATAAACTGATTAATTACACAATTACCATTAAATTACTTGAAATTCTTTGGAATCATCTTGGAATAATCTAAAAGCTACTGTTCTATATGTAAAACTATATGTGGTATCAAGCAATGCCTTTTTTTTTTTTTTTTTTTTTTAATAAACAGCTGAGAATCTGAATTTCTGAATCAGAAAACCTCAGAAACTAGCAATGGAATGTGCTTTTTGAATCATCTGACATAGATAAGCCCCTGTCTCTGGAGGTGAAGGGGTTTTCAGAATTAATTTCACCATTTATATTTCCCATAGCACAATAAATAGATACATGGTGATGAAGTTTTTGCCTCCCTGCAGCTTCTCTTATATAAGAGGGGGATCTGTCAGCCTGGGTCCTGGGCAGCCCCCACCCTGCTCTGGTTCTCATTTCTTGGGGAAAGGCCCTGAGACTTCTAACTTCCCTTTAAGCTCTGCTTCCTGCAAACCATCTGACCTCTTGGCGCCTGGTCTCTTCCCCATATTTACTTCTTTTCCACATTTCCCTTTTGTCTTTCTTGCTTTCTGTTGGTGCCTGTCCCATCAGCCATCTAACCCTGAAGAACTCACAGAAAATCCTTTATGGTACTGGATCCTCCAGTCAAGTAAATATTACTATGCTTTGCTAAATGTGAGGGAAAATATTAGCAGAGAAATGAGCATTTTGAAATTAAATATACAAAGTCCTTATTTAGACAAAATGTTTTCCTTGAATCTCTTCCGCTTAAACTCTGTAGGAAAAGGATGGCAAGTCCAGTATTCATCTTCACTCTATCACAATTTTCTTTTCTATGTTACCAGTGACTTACAACCAAAATGCTAAGACTTGCAGGATCCCTAACTAGAGGAACATATTACAAGTTGTGCTCCTGATGGAAAAGGGTAATGTCAACCATTAAAATGAAAGTGGGCCTCTGAATCAATCATGTAAAGTTGTAAGGCATAGCATCATCTCCCCCTCCCCACACCAACCGTTCTTAAATAGAACATTTAGGGTTTTCATGAATGTTCATGTAAAAAGCTTTTTGTCCTAAGACCTTCCTGCATAATCCCTTCCAGAAGATTCTGTTATTTTGACACTAACTAAAAAAATTATCTAGTAAACTCCTCCCTAAAGGATTCTTTATACGCACCAAGAGGATTATCCTTACCATACCCAGATGCTAGGAACTGTTAGGTTTGCATATCAAGATATATCTTGCCCTGTATCTCACTGCAAAACAACCTCTGGTATATGCCTAGGAATGAATGCTGGAAAATACAGAAATATACTTCCACCAGTTCATACTCCCCAGGGACAGTAGACTGCGATGGTGGAATCTTTCACAAAATGCAAATAATGAAACTTTTAAAGGGAACTGTCATTGTTATTGCTCTTTAATTTATATGCTAAGAAGAACCACCTTTTAGATGATCTTGTATATTTTGCACTGCTATACAGAACTGTTCAGGCACAAAATTAACATAAGCACATATCCTGTAGTCAGAATAACTACATAATTTACATCCAAGACTTTGGAATTTTGGTTCTTTCTCATTTTGTACAACACCAACTACTTTACAGGCTAATTAGCTCATACTATCAAAGAACATCTAGCATCTATACAAAGGCTAAACTAAATACATTTTGAATCATTGCATGGTTTTAATGTTTTCATTATAAGTACTTTGAAAGTGATTGCAATAAATGAGAAGGAAACATATGTTGCTTTCTGAATTAAAATGTCATCATGGCTGACACATTGTAGATGTGACTACAGCAGTCAGAGCCAGAATTAGCAAACCCTTACTGTGTAGCTGCTCACAAAAGAGATATTATCCTACTTTCACCAGTTGATGAGACACATCCTACAGCCTTAGGAATCGCTAATTGGAAAATTTAAAAAGAAGGAAGGAAACAGTACAGTAAATAAGCAGCTCTGTAGAACATACAGTAACAGCCGTGAATCCAAAGCTCCATAAAAAAAGGCAAAAATACTTATCCATACCCACTAAAGAGAATTATATTTGACTTGTATTAACATGATGAGCAAAAGATAGATTTTGCCTAATGCTGAAGATCCCCTTCACATAAAGGATTTGACCTGTATGTGACACAGTGGCTTGTGTTTATATGCTGTAGCTTTTAAGTGTTTTTCAGTATTCTCTTATGGTATCTCTTAGCAGGGAACCTGGTACATTTCTCCCTTCTTGCTCAAGCTTCCATTAAGACATATGAAACTTTTTTTAAGACATGACACTTGCTATCTGAAAAAACTAATAGTAGGTAAAGGCTCCTATGTATTCTTCTGCCTTTAATTGAAGAGTAAATTTCCAAAATAATTAGAACCTGGCCTTATTTTTTCTCTCTTAGTTCTATCTATTTGAAAGAATAATCTGAACTTTTCTTTCTTTTATACAGAAGTATCCACTAGCAGAGATAGTCAACCTCATTATATTTGATTTGCTGCATACTACCATTAACAATTCAAATCCATTCCTCTTTGACTGCTTTACCAGTGCAAGATTGTCATTAGAGGGGTGCAAATACAAAAGCAGGTAATGCATCACGCTAAAAATAAGATTGCAAATTATTTCAGTAACCTGAACAAAAAAAGATTATCCCATTTTTTTTTCTGATATACAACTTTGAGTGAAATTCATTTTGTTTAATTTTATCTTTTCAAAACACGTGTCTAGCACAGCCTGGTCAACCAGGTGACCTCCAGAGGTAAAGGGAAAAGTCTTCACAGAGAAATTGACTCCACCTACCGATCTGAGAACAGGCTCTGCAAGTTTCTTTTGTCATTGTCCAGAAAGCAAACTTCTATTCATTAAAGCAAGACGCTTAATTTGTAGATGGCGAAACTAAAGTAAGGTCAGATGGGCTCCCCCCACCAAACCTTTTCTGTTTTGCATGTAATTGTACAACAAGGAAAAAAGGAACATACATTTGAGCAGTTGTGAGAAAGATGTGAAGAATAACCACATTTCTTTATGGTTTTACCAAATTCATTTAAAAGTGTAAGTAATACAATTGGATTGAGCAGAATGGACAAGTTGTGTACAAAGGGATGATTCATTGCACAGGTGTGATAATTGTTAACAGCAATTGTCTTTCAAAATATATTCTCAGAAGTTAAAAATGGGTAATTAATGATGTGATAGTCCTTCCCTTTAATGGGTCAAGGCATGAAGCAGGATTACATTGCATACTTACTGCTAGTATGTTAGTTTAAGGCATAACATTGGTTGTGAATCCAATCATTCTTGAATTCTCTGTTTAGGTGGTTACCAAAAATTAAACTGGACAAGAAAAGAGTTGTAATTCTAGCCCTGAAAAAATACATATCTGACTTGTTGTGGTCTGAGTTAAACAGTAAGGGAGTACCAGAGGCTGTCCTTGCAAAGTAGTCAGGCACTATTAAAGGGTGAGACATAGAGACGGAGAAATGAGCGCATAAAGATGGAAACATGCTCATAATGCAAATAGTTAATGCAAGTCACTTCAAACTGCCTCACCTTCACTATCAATGTAATTATTTTAAAATCTCTAACATGCATAGGCTTTACAGAGGGCTGATGTTAATGCTACAAATGCTACTAATGCTTTTGCTTCAAGAACCTTCACTGTTACTTCTACAAACATGTATTTTATCTACTATGCATTATAAAGAGCTCGTATATTATCACTATCTTTACATTTATTACATATGGTTTGCCCAAATATGCACTATAAGAACAGAGCAGAGTTCCTAAAAACTTGTATATTCTTAAATTTGATAAAAATTGTCTTTGCATTAAGTAGCTATTCCTTTTCCTAATGATCACAACCTGTGAAGGTCTGTTACAGCACATAGGGTATTCATAATTGCTTTTGTATTACTGAGAGAAGAAAAATGTTGAAGAAAAAGGAGGGTCCTTGCTCCAAGTCTCATGAAGATCCTATACAAAATTAGGCAGATTATAAAACATCCTTCATTGCAGTCAGCTGAGAACTAATATGATTTAAGGGAGGTAAAATTTTGATAAAACATGGATGTTTGATAAAAAAAATTTTCCTAAGGAAATAAATTACAAGGTGTTTATGTCTGCTTAATCAAGATACCTCTGTTCTTCTGCTCCACAGCCAACTGTTTTTCAAGTGTTTCCCTCAGTTCTCGTTCCCTGAAGAGCTCCATCTTCAGCTCTGTTTTTTCCAGTTGGACCTGTTTCTCTTGAGCTCTGGCATTGTCTATAGCAACCTTTAGTAGACCCTGTTCAGAGATAAAGTTGGATATTTGGAGAATATTAGAACAGTCAACATAATAACTACTGTTATTTTTCCTTGATAGTGATATTAAATTTTAGAAATAAAATAATTCTGTCACAGGATCAAAGTTACCTATTAACAACAGCAATTTTTATCTGGAATTAGCTTTTTGGCAGGTGGACAGAAATCTGTAAAAAGCTGAGAGGTTTTTTTAGAAAACTTAACTCTGACTGTGCATATAACTCATGTTAAAAAAATACAGGAATAGGTTTACTTCTCTTTAGAAAAACTGGCAATCTCACAGTCACATCATACACAGAATTCAATCTCTAGTCAAACTCAAGCCAGTGGAAATTAGGTAAAGTAAAATTTAAAAAATTAAATTCTTTCCATCTTGCTCCTCATCCTTGTTTATTAACTACTAATTTCAAATATGTACATATATCATTAAGGTTCCAGACTATCAGTATATTATTAGTAGGTTAGTAAGGAAAGGACAGTCACAAAGCAGGAAGACATCTCTGTTTTAACAAGCCTGTTCCTTGATGTGCATGGCTATTATCTCACAGCAGAAAAACAAAGCACAATCACCTCTTCATTTCTTGACCTGAGATGGCTGATGCAAGCTCTACCTTTCTTTCGGTTGTTAATGTATCAAGAAATAACAATTCAGATTATTTTAAAATTCTTTTGAGAATTCCAACTTCAAATTTCCTTCTTCTTTTGCAAGGAAATTGGATTATCCTGGCACAGCTAACAGCGTATTATTAATAATATTAAGTAGATAGTTAGGATACTAAGACAGGGCATCAAAATATAAGGAGAAATGAAATTGAAATAAATGAACATGCAAATATCCTTTTCCCTTTCCCAAAAGCCTGGCCATCAGGCTCTTGGGTCTACACACGAATCCTTCCTACTGAAGCTATCATAATAAAGTAGATAATTAAGCATGGATATTCATATATAAACCTCCATGGATATGAAACTAACTCTCCTATATCCTAGGCAAGACTCCTGATAACTTAACCATAGATATAATTTGACCCAACAGAGATTTAATTACTGATATGAAGCAAAACAATGCCAACAAGAGAGACAGAACAGTACTCCCCAATGGCTCTGCTAGGGAAACATTCAGCTAACAGATATAAGGGTCACACTCAAGACCTGGTTTGAGCACTACAGACATAAAACCATGATGCCCCTCTCCCAAATAAGCTTCCTCACCCCTCAGCCACACTTTCTGAACTGGATTTTGCATTGCATGTTTTTTCACAATTTTTTAAAAATATCTCACAAAGAAGAATGGAAAAAGAAGCAAGTACAATGATACTTGAGAAACAGAAAGAAATATTTTTTTGTCAGTATTAGTCTGAACATTTATCCCACTAGTCTTCCCAGTGTCAATTATTGCTGTAAAATTTCTATCCTTCAAACTCCTCTTTTAGTTCTGTTTTCAGAGCCTGTTATTTTCAGTACTCCTCAAACTTCTTAAATTGTTGCCTCAAATCTTATCTTGTTCAGAGCTTAATGCTCTGCAGCTCTGTTACACTTCCATCTATTGAAGTCCACAGAAACTAAAAGAACTCAACACCTGACTGCAAGGCCCAGATGGTCAGCAAAATGGTATTCACTAAACAAGAATAGAACCATTTGGAAATATGGCAACAATGGTGACACAACAAATGTCCTCACAAATATGTTTAAAGTTTTAGTGGTTTTATTTTGCTGTTGTAAAATAGCTAAGTCACAAAGGTATTTTGGTTTGAATGTTAAACCTGAATGATTATTAGAGAAAAATAAATCTACCTATAAAGCTCTACATACATATGCAAAGCAAAATACAGTGTGAAATATTTGGAAAGTGTTTACAATCTATTTTTCAGAAGTTAATATTAATTTGAATTCTGTTTCTTTTCTATGGCCATATTCTCCTGTGTTTGGTGCATTTGAATTGGTAAGAAACTGAAGTAGGAGTTGTTTATCAGTACCTGCTTCTGGCTTATGTTTAAACTCAGAGTATTTTAATCTCCTGCTATTCATCACTTACTGGAACATGTGAATCATCCAAATCTTAAATAAACCAGATCAAGAGAAATTACATGAAAAATATTTGTTGATGAAAAGTGCATTGTCTAGTAAGTTTAAAGCTGGAAACACTGTCTTCCCAAATTCTTAAAATCCATCTTATTTAACAATGAAATCAAGCCACTAAAGCAGCTGCCATCTTTACTCAATTCAACTACATTCATGTACATGTTTCTTCTTCATCAGGAACAAACAATTAGTAACAAATGAAAGAGATCATTACATCAAGTGCCCTTTTAGATCACCCCAATTAAAACTTTAGTTTAGCTGTATTTTAATTCTAAGATACCAAATTCTAATTTTCTGCTCTGATTGCTCTTGTTGACTTATCTTTGAAAGATGTACTCTCAGTGCAAAGCCTAGAGATTATTTAGCAAGATGCCAATGTTGGCATCACTTAATGTGTTGATTGGTTGTATTATCAGTAGCAGTTTAAAATAAATTACTATTAAACTATTATTGTCCTTGGCTGAGAAAACACAATATTTTGGTGTTCTTTAAATATGAAACAATCATTATGAATAAACATGGAGAATAACACTAGAGTGTAACACTGATGTGTGTAATTTTATATTAAGATCTGCTGCAAAGTACGAAGCTGCTAAAAGATTATTACATTTTCTATTGAGTTTCTGCACCACTCTTCCTCCCCCAGTCTTTCCTTTTTTTATACTTGCTAACATAGCTAATGGTAATATATTACCTATTGCTGCTGATTATGTCTGAAAAATATTAGCTTTTTGGAGCCAAGATCCACTAGGGACTACTTATAAGCTACACAAAATTAAGTTTCATTTTTAGAAGTTAAATCAGTGCACATCAGTAGGCATCCGATGTGAAAAAAAAAAATCTGCACTAGAGCCAAACTGATGCATATCAAAAGTGCTGTTGTTGCCAATGACAGCACTAATGCAAAAATACTGGAAACATTCAATATCTCCCTTTATTCAGTGCAGAAGTGGCTGAGAAAAACTAAAAAAAGTTCACCATCTAAAAAATCATCAGTGCCCCCTGGAACAGGAATAGCAATTTCAGGGTTGCATGAAATTCTATTAATTCTCCCAGTGGATCAGCTGTAGAAGATTATACAAAATACTGTATGTCAAACTTGTATATGCTATGGCTAATCCTCTAACCTGGTATTAAATCAATATGCTGCCAATGACAATGGGAAATGCAGTGCAACAAAGGACATTAACAAAAAGAAAATATTTCTCTTTAGGGAAGGTCAGATGTTATGGAAGCTGGATAATGATAATTTCAGTGAACATGCTCAGATTCAGATTTGTTTTTAATAACAGTATGGCTCTAACTGGAACCTGGCTTTAAGCATGGCAGGCCATTCTTCTCAGTGTCCCTCTTAATTTTTATTTCAAGGTAATGTCAAAAAATGGACATTTTATTCCCTGGGCATTTATAGAGCAGTCTGATTTATTTAATGTACTTGTTTTAGTGTTTTTCACTGACAAATCCTTTAGAACTGTCCCAAACACAAGGCTAAGTTGATATGGGAGTTTCTTCCCATGCTCTGCTCTGAGAACGCCATCATATAAAAAGGCAGCCTCATGATCCTACAGAAACTAAACATATCAAACCTCAGTCTTAAAACCAGTATTACTCGTCACAGTTTTTAAATTACACGAATAATGTGTTGCCTACTTTGAAAGGGGTGGAGGGGAAGGTGTATAGAAGCTCCTGCTCTTTCTGGCTGCATCTTTCAGTGTGTGTTCCACCTAACAGAATTTAGTTGACTATGTGTTTATATGTGACATCAAAATGACCTTGCTAATTAGTTTGATAGTCTATCTAGAACATAATATTCTTGTTTCCAACAATTGCCCACACTGAGTGAAAAAGGGAAACTAGATGATCAGGGCATGCACATTTGGAAGTTTTCCTAGTCAAAACTCCTGGCTTCCAGGGGGTTACAGCTCAGGGACTTCTTTCTGCAGTATTAGCTATCCATGGTGAAAACACTTGAGAATAACATTGCTTCTCTTTTTAATCAGGAAAAAATATATAATTTGTATGCTGCCATCATTAAAAGTATCTAGTGAAAGGCTCTAGGAAAAAACATATATACATACAATTCTAGCTAATTTCACATGCTAATTTTTGAATATCTGCTATTTATAACTGACTAGTGACTAAGTACCGTGAGCAAGACAACAGAGTTAGAACATCTCTAGAGATGACTCCTGAAAGACAATATTTTTAATGTCTCAGATTGCATAGTTTATCACAGATAAAGGCAAATTGCACAACTATAAATGATACTTTCATTAATACTTTCTGTGAAAAATAAAATAATTGTCTTGAATTTTAGCAGAAGATAGATATGATAACATGAAGTAAAACTGGGATTTTTTTACTGGGATATTTTTATTTCATCCACTGTTTGCAGTGTTTTTCCCTTAGTATTTAGTCATAGATAACAACAGTTCAGGAGACTCACAGCAGTTTTCTTTGTTTTCAAAGGGGAATTTAGTTTGCAACCATGCACTGCTTTTACTAATATCAATGGGAAACTTGCAAATTATTTTAGGTATCTCTTTAAAAATATTTAGCAATAAAAGTATTGCAACACAATACAGTCTTGATAGAAAAATACAGCTATCATGGTGCAACTGTATAATCTCTTAGATATTAATGAAAATTCAGCTGACGGACACTAGAGACTCAGACTCTAAAAGCTTAAAAAATGTTACTGTTACCCAAGAATATTGGAGCATCATGAAAGGCTGTGGCTGTAACATACTTTGGCATAATCAGGCCATGACTCAAAAAGGTAAACTTATGTGAGGAGTATGAAGACATCTTTAGCCTTCTCACTAGCACATAAAGAGCATTTTGCTGTGACTCACTTTCCCCCACCCTTCATCCTCCCTGCTACTGCACTTATCCAGAAGAAATCTACAAATACACTTTGTGAAATAACAGACATATTACTTGATTTAAGTTTAATTTTCTCTTTCTTTTAGACGTGCAGATATAAATCCAAATAAGAAAATATATTCCCAATCTTATTACTTTTTTTTAATGTGTTTATTTTCTTAATTATATATTTTTAGAGGTCATTATTTGTATTTCAGCAGTCCCCAGTAAGAACAATGCTGGCTATTCAATTTATTTTATATTGTTATTATCTCGTCTGTAAAAGTACAAATAATTAAACATTTTATTTTGCTTAAAGGAGTATTTATGGAGAAGTAAAAAACCCCATATATATGGTATACAGAAGGACATACTGGTGACAGCAGAAGTAAATAGGTTGTTTAATGTTTGCCTAAAATTATGAATTTGTCATCAGGGGCTATCAATTTAACTTTAGTATGGATGGAAGAAAGAGACTCACTTGTGCTCAGAGGTCAAGCCTAAAAAATGACTCAGACTTCTAAAACAGAATTACAGTTAAGCAACAAGTTCACTTGAGCTCATCAGCATCTGCAGGAATTAAAGCACATTTGTTTTCAAATAACAAAATTTAGAAATTTAAACTTCTAAAAAAGTTAGAAATCTTGTTTGCATACCCAAAAAGTACTTTTCCATTGACAAGATTTAGGATCCTTTTAACCATATCAAAGGACAGAATTAGAGCTCCTAGTGCCCAAGCAACACCCTAATCCTGTTCTATTTTAAACCAGGGCAGTCTCTACAAGATTTTTGGAGGCCCCAAAGTCTGTATTATTCAGATCCTCCAGATCCTGCACCTCACACAACTGGATATTCAGAAAGGGATCATGGCAGAGACATCCACCATCAAGTCCATGCACATTGGTGTAGCCATAAGCTCCTTGCCTGTATATTCCTGTGGTGATGACATCCCTAAAATGTAGGCTAGCTCCAGCATAATGTGTGGTATGTTGTGGGTGCCCCCCAGACCCATGACCTAACAAAAAATGTAGACTTTCATTTCACAAGCAGACATATACCCCTTCAGTGAAAGGACATATGCCTATTTTCAGAATGAATGATCCTGGGGAAAAAAAGAGCAGTGTTTACCAAATCCACTCATGAAGCCATTGGCTATCTGTTTGAGGAAGTTAGACCTTCTCCACTGCTGCAACAAGGGAACAGTGAGGGATCACACTGCCCCACCTCCCCACGGAAATCACATCTCTACTGAAAGGGATGCAAAACACATCAGGTCCAAAGGACAGCATGGAGCCATTTACTCAGTGAAAAGAGTCCTTCTAATTCAAGTAATAAATGCATCATGGGTTTCAGGTACCTATTATGCATTTCCTAGCAAAGTCACAAATTACAATGCAATCAGGGACCATGGTACAGAATTGCCTCTTTTCACAGATGCCTCAACAAATTTGAACTTGTAATCAAATACCTAAAACTCTGTTCTGGAAGTGTCAGCATCACAGTATCTAACTCATTTGTGAGCATAGGTAATCACCTCTCATTGCAATAGCAATGACATAGTAACATGGAAACCATTTTAAATGGCATTGATTAATGAAATTGTCACTATTGATATTATATAGTATATAGATATTTACCTCTGTTAAAGTCAACTTTTCCTACACAGACAGGAAAATCAACTATTTTATTTCTTTTTTATTTTATGAGCAGATTTCTAATGTTGTCCTGATAAAAATTAAACCTAGTGCAGGGTAGAGGGAGGAAAATGCTTTTCATATACTGTTACAAAAGGATTCCTATAAATCTGTCAAAACCATATATTGTGATGTGGGGACATACTGAAAAAATCCAGAAGGACTTCTGTTTCACCACTTTATATTAATAGATGATTTGTAATGATATAGAATCTCGAGGTAAGGAGCAGGATGTTCAAAAGCACTTCAAGAGAAGGATTTAAAAAGTTCTGGTTTGTTTATGATGTTGCCTTTTATTTTATCTTTTCATTCCAGGTAAGATTAGAGTATTAAAAAAAAAGGAATGACTGAATTTCACATTCACATTTTCTGTAAAACAAAACTGAAGGCATTCTTGGCAAATTAATCCTGGTCATTTATCCTGAAGTAGTGCAGCACTCTCATATTCAATCACGAGATTAGCTAACCTGTTGATGCTGAATGCTTTGCTCATTAGGTTGCTGTCTAGAGACATTGAGTGCAGACATTTGTCAAAAAAATTACTGAGAACTTTTCTGTACATGTATGCACAGCTAAAAATGTACTAACTGTACTTCTGCCTTAAGAAAAAAATACAATCTTTACAGATTGCAGCAGATACGTTACAAGAATGCTATCAAGTTATCTTGGTTCATGGTTGAAATATTTAAGATGCTAAGTCCCAAAATTGCAAAAAGTAATCATAAATATACTTTTTCAGACCAGGCAGAGATAGTAATATTTATTTCTTAAATAGCAGTATTTTGCCATTGTTAGACCTCAAAACACAACTAATGAATGGCTCATATACTTTTCATAATACAATTCTGAAGTGCCATAAACTTTAATGAGATTGCTTCAGACAGTAAAGCGAGAAGGATTTGGCCCTGCTTCGTCATATCCTCTGCTGGACAGAATACAATTGATTTTATGTGTTTGCAGGAATGAGCAGGAAATATATGGTGACAAATTAGAAGTTGGTAGCTGCCCCAACAAGGCTTTTTGGGAATATGCAATATGGTTGCATTATTTCTGGCACTGTCATTTCGCTTCTGCATGCAGTATATAACCATGTCATTGCAAAATGTGCATATGGGGAACACAAGATAACTGAATTTGTGGACAAAAAATTTTTCTTAATTCTAATATGAAACACTAACAATTTGGCTTCAAGCTATACATAGTGTATGCTATAAATAATATTTGAACACAGCTTTATTTGTACACACAACAGACATTGTGACTACCAAATAGGAAATCAGTATAAAATTCGGTAATACCCTTTGAAGTCTATTCTTTAAAGACAGTACCTTAAGTGAAATGAGCTTATTTATAAAATAAGTGCTTCTTGTAAACGCTTTTATGGGAGACACATTTCAAATAGCTTTAAATATCATTTCCACCATGCCACTCTAGCAATTTGAAATAACTATTTATTAAAGAACTCTTTCTCTGTTTAGTAAATGAGATAAAGTTAAACAGTAAGATACATTTCATTAGCCTGTAATAAAAAGAGCATTGAAGACAAATGTTGTTAAACACACCAATATAATTTATATTGACTTTTCTGCTGTGTTTTAATATACAATCTGTATTTTTATGTACTGTATCTGACAGCTTCTAAATTCATTTGTTTGCTGTGGTTCCTTTAAAACCTAAATTACAAGAAAGTTTCAGTAAATTAGTTGATCCAAATAATCTTATGAACTGATTAAGCTAGAATGGTTTTATTAATTTAGACAAAACTGGCTCCTCTCCATCCCTTTAAGCTGATCTACAAAAAGGCCTACCTGGATGTTAGTCAGAAGGGTCTCTATGGAGGACAATCCATCAGGGAATAGAAAAGGAGATGGAAAACCTGGAGGTAGTGGTTGCCCATGCCCAGTTAGAGAAAGTTTGTCAAGGCTGTCTCTTGCGGTTGGTGTGGAGAGCGGGGTCTCATCTGTATGTGATTGAAACAAAAATATAGAACAAGTTACGCTTGTCTGTTTTTATTAGACCTCAGTAATGGCTTCCCTAGTGGTTTCCAGAACATTTATTGCAAATTGGTTCCTGCTATCAGGAGAAAATGCTTTCTGCTGAATTTTCTTTAATGAAAAAGCTGTGGAGATACAACAAGATAACATTAATGAGTAACTTTATAAGCCTTTTAAATGCAGTCTCTAATGAGACTGAGTTTACAGTGCCATAGAATCTTTTTAAAACAAATATTATCTCACATATACTTGTGATAATATATTCAGGCTGACTTTATGGGCACCTTCCCAATTATCTCATTTTAGTTTGTGTTCTATTTGGATTGACAATAGAATATTTCCTAGCATGACATATATTTTGTATATGAGAAGTATTTGAATACGAAGCTTCCCATACAATTAACCCTTCCCACTCTTAATGGTTTCACTTACAGCTCAGAAGATTTTGCAACACCAAGAAAAGCTCCTCAATACACTTTTCCTCAAGAAAATACACCTCATTGCCACAATTAAAACATGCTCTGAACAGTACATGAAATTAACTGCATAGTAACAATCACTGGCCTAATTCTTATAAGCACAGAATTCTAACAATAAATGCTGTACTCCTCAGTGGGATCTTTGTAACAATCAGATCTGATCACTTCTGACATCACAATGGGAAAAAACTTGCACAGATTGAAGACTTCTAAGATTAAAGTTTCACAGATAATCTGTGAACAGATTAAGAAGTGGAAAAAAAAAAATAAGCCCCCTACAATTAATAGAAACTTCAATAACCTCATTTGTAATTTTTTTTATTTTCTGGAATATTTTTAGGCTACTGTTGATATGATATAGAAATTTAGGTCAATTTCTTTGCACCAGATGTTAATCTGAATTCTTCAAACGGAAAACTATCTATACATATAGACACATATATCTGTACATACTCTTCTTACCAAGGGCTCAGTCATTAACTGACACATATTGATGTATCTCAGCACAATGCAAGGACATCAGAATGTACCCCAGGTATCACGTAGATTCTGCACAGCTATATGACTACGAAGGAGTTTGTCAGACTCACTTTTTTTCATTTTGGCTTTGAGCATTTTAAGTTATATATCTTTTGGGGTAGTCAAATTTATTTTTATTTATTTATTTAATTATGGTTGTACCTCTCTATTTATTTTATCAGGTACTTTAAAATAGTATCTGAAAGTTGATCCCAGTTGCCTAAAAGGAGTTCTCTCTTGGACTGAATGCATTTTCCTAAGTGGATATAGTCTAGGACCACGAAAATTGACCTCTGCAGTAACAGAAGGTTAGAGTGCTCATGACCTCAGGATGGGACATCCATAACTCAATGTCCCACTTCATTCCAACAGTCCCCACCACCATTCCTACAGGAGGAAGCAACCTCTATCAACCACACTCAGGTGCAGATTTCTTGTCTCATCTCACCAGCTCTGTCATGCTGGTCAGTATTTACAGTGCTAAAGGAATAGCTTTTCCTACTGTGTCCTCCCACAGAACAACCCAAGCAGGTATTTGGCCATGCTGGGCTGGTACCACTCAGGTCTTTTATAGCCATTGGAAAGAAGTAGATGCCACTTTAAGGTACTCATCCATCTGAACTCCCACAGGCATCTACTGCAGGAAGAGGTAAATCTTCTAGAAGTGCCTGTTGGCTGTAAGAAGAACCTAAGATGACAACCTCAGATGGAAAGATCTGCTTTTGTGCAGATCCTGTACTGGATGCTGTTCTTCCTACTTCCCTGTGGCTCAACCTGAGGACAGACTACACAAGGAGTAAGACCCTGCTCCTTATGCCCTGTTTGCCACAATTCATGCCACAATTACTGCTTTCTCATATAGTCATCATCCAAGACCTTTCCAAGTTAAGGTTACTGAAAGGAATTAATGTTGACCAAGGACAGCTTCAGACCATTCAGAGTCATAAAGGGTTTTTCCCCTATATTTAGGTTTTTCCATCATTTTACAAAGTGCTGAGCAAAAACTGGCTCTAGATCTCAGACCCATTTCCTATCTACCTTACTGAGATTCAAAGCAGGCTCTGAAAGATGCACTATGTGGATGCATCCTCTCTCCTCATGATACCCCACAGCAGCATGGATTGCTCTGCAGTCACTTTGTAGTGACATACTAAAATTTGGCCCTAAATATGAGTATCTTCTTTCCAACTTTTAAAATATTACAGAAATATTCACCACTTCATTATAAAAAATAAATTACATATTCCTGGTATTGAAAACTAGCTTAGTTCAACTTGTCCACTCTTATTCTAGTGTGAAAAATCATTAGCAATTTTTTTTTCTCTAAACTGCTGCCAGAATTGTTATGCTTTCATTAATTGAACGAAACAAGCCAAAACTAGTTAGGCAGTATATTTATAAATACTACATAATATTATTGCATAGCTGAAAACTGTTCTCCTCTACTGAAAATATGGCTTCCCCAAATGATTTTTACCCAAAATTAAAAAAAATAAAAAATAAAAAATTTAAAAATCCACTTCCATGTTACATCCTTAAGGTTTTTTTGGGTAGAGATTTCTTTGTATCAGTGGTTGCAGTGAAGGTATTGTTCTTGCATGACACACCATGAAAAAGCTGAATCACTAGCATGCATGGTGAAGTTGATTCATATAAATATCATAAAGGAAGTGGAAAAGACATCATTTTCCTCTAAGTTTGCCAGGAAAATGGATCAATGACCTCCTACTTTCTAAGACTACTCTTAATTTTATTTATATTTTAGGTCTCAAATTGTCAAAATATTTTAAGATATACTAGATAAAAATGACCTATTTAAAAATTCCGTAAGCCTTAATTAACTCAAAAACTGCTCTTCCATGCAATTGCTGCGATACAGAAAGCTCCTAACACAGATCTTGTAATAGAACCTAAGCAAGGGATCAATTTTTTTACTGTATTACTACTTTACAATTTATTTAATATTATGCTTTCTGTACTTTGTGCGTGCTCACCACATGAAGTTTGCGAAGAATTTTTAACAATGTGTGGCATGGTTTTGCAATAGGCAAAGAAACTCAGAAAGATTAGAATGATATGAATTCAAAGTAACATCCAAACCATTATGTTATAATAAGTAACAGAAACAAATTTACACTGAAGAGTAGGACTAGAGATGAACTTACTCTGAACTTACTTTAATGAAATATCAACTCAGAAAAAAAAGTCAGACTAATGTGATTTGTTTTCTTGATGTCCCATGTGAAATAAACTTTGAGTGTGAGTATGTTTGAAACAGAGCAAATGTACATATTATACACAGGAAGAGTGGATATTTGTGGATGTGAGATAAGCGATGATTGAGGGAATCTTAAAAAAATGCATTTTTAAGAAAAACCACATTGTAAACACAGCCAATTAAAACATAACCACATATCTCAGCAGCAAAATAGTATGACCTCTTGCCTTTAAAACATCTAAAAATACTTAATTCTGCACAAGTCCTCTTTTCTCTAAGGGATGAGATATCTTTTGTTTCCAAATAATCATTAGCCTAACATCTTTTAAACTGCTACAAAGGAACTACTAATGTTCCTCTTACACTACTAGCAGAGCAATGCTGCAAAATGATGAGCCCTTGCTGGGAAACAGAGATTTGGTATTTCAGTCTAAACACATCAAAGGAAGTGTTAGAAGAGAAGTCAGGGAAAAAGGGGAAATAGGGTCAATCTACAGCTCTATTGTCAGAGTGGGGAGCACAACAGCGAAAAGAAAGAGGGGGGAAAAAAGAAAGAACAAGGCAGAACAAAGAAGTGTCCAGGCCTGCCTTGGTTTGCTGGGAACTGAGATGTTATAAATTAACAAATAAACAAGGATAGGACAAGCTGTTACCCAAGCCTCTACAGTATCTGGGCAGAGATGAATATGTGTCTTGACATATGAACTAAATCACCATAATAGGCAAGTCTGAATGCGACACGTATCTTTAAAATATTTGTAAATGCTACAACTACTCCATCCATTGTTCCTCAATTTCCAAAATTCACCTGGTTTTGTTCAAACCAGATTTTATCTGTAAACAGCAGCTGGTTTGGGCCAAATATAACAAACATATTTCACTGTATTTGGTTTGTTGCCATTCTATTTTATTCTTTCACCAGATAACATGGCAACAAACATCCTGGAAGCTGTGACAGCTATTTAAACAATAATAGATGAATAGAGGTAGCCATTCTCTTGTCTTTGTTCCTAAAAGCAAGTAGGATAAGTTCAGATTAGTCACCAATCAAACTGGAAAATATTGATATTGCCAGGATTTGAAAGCAAGCAATAATAGCTGGCTGAAAAAAATACTCTACAGATTACTGCCATTCTGTAATCATGTCATACTTTTTCTGCAATGCATCTTGAGGCTTTTCTGTTCTCTGCAAAATATTCCACATGTATTTGTTTCTAACACAGGCTCACTCTTACCATTTGGATGATGGAAGAGGATTCTGCTTCCATTTTATATTACCATAAATCTGGTGCATACATTTTTTCTACAGGGTAGAAACAATCTATTCCATTTGGCTTAATATTATTTTGTTTTACATTGTCAAACACTATTTAGTACAAAGCTTTATATTTCACCTTCTTCACTGTTAGAGGTTTTAAGTGTGAGAAGCTTTTCTGTTTTAATTGATCTGTAATTCTTGATTTATATTAACACAAAAGAACAATTCTCAATCAAAATGTTTAATAATTTCAGGCAGACAAAAACAAAGAAAGAAACAAATAAAATCGTCTTGACCAATTCCCATATAATTTGGCTGCTTTATAGATTTGGTCATTCAAGATTAACCCTGTATGTAACTGGGGGCAGTGCAATGTGACTGTGAAGGATGTTACCAATTCTAAAAGGAGCGTACTGAGACTCTTATAAGACTCTTATAAAAATAGGTTTATATATAGAAGACTTATATGTGTGTGTATATATATATATATAT